AATTTTAATTTATTTTGCGGTGCACTTCAAAACATCCATTGTCAGGCATACCCGCTGGTAGTAGCCTACATTCCACACTATAAACTTGGGTTTCCAAATGTGCAATATGCCTAGAGGAGACGAAGTAGAGCCTGCTTCTGCAACCTTGGGGCTCAGAAAAGTTTTGTTTGGTTAAACGGCTTAACGTCTACCGTGACTATTTGTATGTTCATCAGCCCTCCCGGCCACATACACTGATCGCTTACCGTTTTCCCAAATCATTTACCCATCTGCACCGATACTATTATCATGAAGACCGCCCTCTGCCTCCGCTGGAGTGTGGTAATCGGGAGCTTTGGTTAATGCTGCTGATGAATGACAGGTTATTTTGTCGCCGCCACATGATATGCTCTGTCAATCGGATCAGCATTCATATTGAGACTACAAGGAAGCTTTAAACCCGGGTACTTCCCGCATTCTTTGATCGCAATCCTCTTACGTTAGCCAAGTCTTCAGGCATTAAGGACTCAATCAAGCACAGCTGAATCATCAGCGGACATATCTGCGGGTAGTGAAGCACTAGGCCTTAGTCGATCGCAGACATTTTCAGCATAAACGCCTTCTCCAATATTTTTTCGTTTTAGGATATACTGTCAGATCAGACATAAAGCCATTTATGACAGAAATTACTGTTAACGAAGAGTTAGTGAGGGACGAAAGACGGCCATAGGTAAGGATGGGTGACTCACTAGCAGTTTATGTCTACAATAAGTCTGAGCCTAGGAAATAATCAAGCATTCGTTGCCTTGCTAAATATGTCTATACAAATGAACATAACATAACTGAGAAACGATTCACGAACATAAGAATACTGCAAGACCCAAAAGCCGCATGTTTTCCGAAAGAGATTTGTGAGGAGATATTTTCAATGAAGTCGATCAAGCAGTGCAACAGTGGCATTCCTGCGTCAGGATAGGCAAGCAATATATTATGTAGCCCCCTGCTCAACGTGAGCTGCGAAAATCAGATGTTATGACCCGTTAGATATCGTTCAAAATCCTAGGGCATCTTCATACGTGACTTGCCAAATGAAACCACTGGAAAAATAATCATTTTTACATATTTTGTTTTATATAATAAACGTGCGGCGCAGATAAACGCCAAAAAATCTTACATTTTCATTTTTGCTAGTGTGAAGTATACCCTACATTGTATCAGTATGAAGGAATACATGTTTTTCATTTGAGACTTGAAGCAGATTGTCCAGCCTAAAAACGGGATATCAGAACTTTTAATGAAGATCACTTTGGTATTATTGTTACTTGAAAAAAGCTGCAAGCGATTGACACTTAGGACTGCACTACCGCCGGATAAGCCCACTATGGAAGGCCACTATGGTTTGACGGTTAAG